CCACCATGTTCTATTTAAATATTTTTTTTTTCTATCCCAATTTTGCCAGTCACCCTTTTTTTCTATCCCTGCAGAAGTATTGAATGCTAAATATGTTTTTTAACCTTTTAAATTACTAGTATGACTTCACCTCTTAATTATTAATATCTCAAAAGAAAGAACCCCTTTCAAGTTGAGAGTATCTTAAAAAAAAAAAAAAACCTTTAATTTATCTGTTCTCAAGAAAGACTTTTCAAATTATTAGATATCAAGAAAAATTGACACTAAAAATTTTAACAAGACTTTTAATCTCCAAAGAATAAAACAAGGCCGCTCATATATACAAAAAATGCTCGACAAAATCTTTCATTTAAAAAATAGAGAAGAATCTTTTTTGCATTTCGCACTATTTCCATCTACAAAATTGTTGAACATTTTATACTAGAACCACCCAAGGTTGAAATTATGGATCCGCTATTGCCTACAACTAATCCCTATTTTTATATAATAAAAAAATAGAAATCCCTTTCCTTAAAGGCTTCTTAAGTTCATATGATATTTTAAAAATGTTCCCTACTTTTTATATTTAAGTGATACATACATTGATGTCTTTTTGTCCATATTTTCTTGTCATTTGTCACAACTTTGGGTAGTAAATGGATTGAATGGATTGAAATTTTTTACTATCTCGAGCAATGAGTTTCCAACTCTACTGTAGTATAAAAATGTCCCTTAATGATCACATTCCATAGCTTTCTGATGGAGTGCATGGGTGCTCTTTACACACTAGGTTATATGTTGCTTCGTATTAACTTTAGGGTCTAATCTCTAAAGAATTAGGAATCTTTGTACCATAATTTGGAACTTCAAAGCTGCGAGTGTGAAAAGTTTTAGTAGTAGGACAAAAAAGAAGAACGTGTCTTGAATGGATAAAATTCAGAGTGAATAAGCACGGGAGCTCAAGAAGCATGGTTATGATTTAGGAAGTCTAGGTATAATTTTGCATTTTATATATGCAAAAGTACCTCATGTTTTCATGGAGCATCAAAATAATTGCCATAAAAAGTATTTCTATAAAGAAACATTTTTTGTTCCTAACGCACATGATTTATGCACTTGTTTATTAATTATTGATTTGAATACTGAAATTTATGTATTAGTAATTTGTAGTGATATAACAACATCAAACAATCCTCATGATTTAGGCATAATTTGACGTAAGCATTGGTTATTTTGTCGCTCATACTCATTAGAAATAAGAAAGAAATTAATTAAGTACAACTAATGAAACTCGCCCAATCCAACCCTCTTAAGAATGGTTTGGGTGAGTTGGTTTGCCTATTTTCTTAGACGGAAATGGGTCTGAACAATTCCAACCCGAGCATGTTGGGTTGGCCAATGGATTGAAATCCTACTAGACCAACCCACTCGATGCCCCCCATTTTTTTTATGAACAAACGATATTATCAATACAAATAGGTGGTTGGGTAGTGGACTAAGCCTCATAATGAGTGGGCTATAATAATGTGGTTCAAATTCGCTTTTGGTGAGAATCGAATCTATGACCTTTCATTTACAAGTGAAAAAAATACCATTAGAGTCCTAGATCGTAGTACTAAGTGGTTTTCTTATTGAATTCCGTTTGTATTATATGTAACAAAAGGAAAAATCATTGTATTAAATAAGAAATTTTTCATTGTGACCGGAATACGAAAGGTACATCACGTGTTTTTATATAAGTGGTGGAAAATTTTATTTTTTAAGTTATTAACTTTTTAACACACATATCCCACCATTTGTATAATGACACGTGATGTACTACTCCGTGTACTGGTCACATTGAAAAATTTCTCATATTAAACAATACTGATAAGAGTTTGCTTACGTCAAGGCACGCTTTTTATGTGAGCATGCAAGTCGAGGTAGTTATTAGCAAATTAATTAAGTAACATGCTTCACATATAAAATTAAGTTTTACTACACTTAAACCCATCACATAGGCTAGGATGGTTCGTGCGCACTTTGTACTACTGTCAAAGTAAAAAATATGTCTTCCATTTCCAGAGACACATATGCCACATAAAGTAATGTTATCACTGCATGTTTAAGCAATTTTTTTATTAAAAAAAAATTGTAGATGCAGCAGTCCATCCTTTCGGAGATCATGAAGACTAACTTAGGCTTTTCAGCTTATCCGTGGTCATTATCATGTGACTTATTAACGTCAGAATTTGAGTCCACTACATATCATGTGGGATATGGGCCTAAAATTCGACTCTAACCACTGAGCTACCTTGTGATAGTTGCATTTTCAAGCATTTCAGTTTGATAATTCTTTCATTGAATGAATAAAGCTCTTGTGTTAAGGTAACTTTGATCGGAACCAATTAGCTTTTTAGGAGACTCTTTTCGTAACATAGTCCGGTATACTAAATGTAATAATATAATTGGTTTTAAATTGATTTTTTTTCTTCAATAAATTGTATAAGGACATTTGGGGTACCGGATTGTGTTTCAGACACACTAAAAAAATTTCACTCTTTAGAATGCACAATGGAAGAAAAAGGGTGAACAATGAACATAGATGGCTTTGCTGCAATTTTCTGTTACTTGGTTACTCATTTGTAATTCAAAATTTTAATTTAGTTTTAGTTCACAAACCCTCTTTCATTCAATCAATTTAGTAATTACTTAGGCAGAAATTCATGCCGGAGCAGCAGAGAAGAGAGGCCACCTCTTCTCAGCTGGAAACAAAAAATTTGAGTTGCTACAAACGTTACAACCTGGAATTTGAGAGTTTATTTAGTTTCTTTACATAAAAAGGTATCAACACTCCAAAAACATCATGATAAACTCCTCGTAAAAATTTTCCTGGTGCAATACAGGTTTCGAAAGAAAAAAAAATTTGAAGTTCATGAAATTATACTTAGGGCGGGATCCAAAATTTTGAAATTAAAATAGCCACCATATCTAACATTAATTATTACTAAACTTTTGCAGTCATTATGTATATATGGGTCCAAAAAAAGAAAAGAGCCATCATATAAACCTTTTTGATCCAAAATTTGCTACAAAGTTATGTAATTCATTACTCATTAGTAGCTAATGAAGAGAAGAGAAATGGGAAAGGGCAACAACTTCAAGGTTGAACGTCACCACTCTAATAATATAGAAAATGTTTGCTTCTCTTTTCTCTTTTTCTCAAACGATAAGAAACTAAGAATAAATTGAAATGATGGCCTATAAAATTGTGTGCTTGTTTTTGTTGAAATGTTAACCTGACTGAGCAGGTTCCAATGCCCATCACGCCCTTTTGAAAAGTCCCTTCATCATATTCATATGTTTATGTGAGACCTTTTTTTTTAAATAGCCGGTATTCAAGTAATACACTACATATAATATAAGTGAATGATGTGATATATGTTTTTGTATTTTTCTACTTATTTTATACCACGTTAAATATCTGTTTAAATACCGGACATTATAAAATGTTTCTCCTCATCCTCATCCTGTAACGAACCCCTTTTCTTTATACATACACCTACACATAGATTAAACAATGAAAATCCATTTTGTGACGTGACCACCTAGATCAGTGTTTGTCACCACCGTGAGGTCCAGGTGTGTTTGCTCTGCGAGCCTTGTTTATCAGGGGTGCTAGAAAGATAGCTCTTTCTCAGATCCCAGTTTCCCAGAACCAAAAGTGTCTGCTTATTTCTTTCTTAGCAGCAGGCTTCAATTCTCTGCAACTCAGTGAGCCAAAAAAGAAGGTAACAACAACCAGCCAACATTTTTTCAAGAAAGTGACAAAGAAAAAGTAGGGAAAAAAGTGAAGCAAAACCATAAAATATGTTGAAAATTCTAAAGTGTAGTGGAGGTTCATTCAAATGATATGGTTTAGTTTCTTCTCTTTCTTGTTTAAGTAAACTGTGGGGGTTTGTGTGTGGGGAATATTGGAGTGAGTGACTGACAAGTAACCGGGTGCAGGCAGTTGTCGGGTGAAAATGAGGCTTCACCGCCGCACCAACCTGCCATAACAGACAGCACGCGAGCTCACTGGCTACGGGGACAGCAGGTCACCACCTCCCTCACCTCACTTTTTCACTCATTCATCAGTCACTCAATCTTAATTTATTTTATCAAAGGGTTTTTTTTATTAACACCTCATATTTTGTCGATTACATCCCATATAATAACTTAATATTAAATTGTTCATAAAACGACTATTTAAGCCCTAAAATGTTCTAAAAATAAAAAAGAAGATTCTAAATACACCCCAAATTCTTTCTTTGAGGCATGCCTAAAATTTACTTCTATGCTCTCACATTAGCAATATGACTATTTTTCCAGAAAAGAATGAACAGGTTTTCCGTAGAAGTTTGAAAACTCAATGTGAAACTCCATCACTTCAATATATATACATACAACTGCAAGACTTAAACCCTTTTGCCCTCGAGTCAGTTTGGGTGAGGTTTGTGTCCTTTTATCTTTACTTTAATGAAAACTCATTTCGACTAAAGGAAAGATTGAAGAATTATATAGGTTACTGATATGAAAATTGAAAAGAAATCTGGAGGAAACAAGTTTGTGAAGACGAATACGCGGGTTTGATGTGGGGTGTATGTGAAGAATTTAGGGTGTGAGGGTAGCTTGAGAAAGAATATGGGATGTATTAAGATATTTTTTTAATTTAAAAAGTAGATATATGATGTAATCAACAAAATATGGGGTGCCAATCAAATAACCCTTTATCAAATATTAGGGTTGGGATGTTGAGAGCTGAGGCCTGTGGTGTATAGGCTGGTCCGGTTGATACCCCACATTCGCCTCGATATGTTACACAATGCATGCTCGAGGTTTAGGGTTTGAAAATTAATTTATATTAATACAACTTTATTTAATTAATTTAGGCAAACAGTGGGGTCCAATTCAATCGGTACATTGCTTTGAATCCCAGGTGGCCTTCCCGCTTCTATATATAGAACAAGTGAAAGAGCAGAAGCACAACAAAATTGTAAACACAGAACCTAAACCCTAGAGGTGCTGGTGTGAAGCAGGTAAAACCTCTCACTATTAATATTATCAAATTCTTGTTCTGTGGGTGAACCAAGTGTTTAGCCAAGACGGGTCTGCCAGTGTGGATGTTGGGGTTGGGTGTCGATCAGTTGCGAGCAGACATGAATCGTTTGCTCGCGATGCTCTTTCACCAGGTAACTGCTGATAAAATAACTTGTTTCGCTTTATTTTAATGTTCTTCATTACTATTGAAGATTAATGTTTATGAACGCAGTTAATTGGTGTTTATCGGTATTTTGTTGTTGTTAAATGTATAGGGAGTATTGGATGAGCAATTCTTGCAGCTTCAACAACTCCAGGACGAGAGCTCCCCAAACTTTGTTTCTGAAGTTGTGAACATATATTTTCATGAGTCCGAGAAGCTGTTGAGAAATCTCAGAGGATTGTTGTGAGTCTCTCTCTCTCTATTTCTCTCTCTCACTGAGCGATTTAATTGGTTAATTTTTGGTTGTCGGTTTGGTGGTTGGTGAAACATTGAACTGAACTGAAATGAACATGTAAACAACAGGATGGATAGGGAGTTCTCGGACTACAAGAAAATGGGAACACATTTGAATCAGTTTATGGGAAGCAGCTCAAGCATTGGTGCCAAGAGAATCAGAAACGTCTGCGTCGCTTTTCGCGCTGCTTCTGAACACAATAACCGTGCTGGGTCAGTCAGTTACTCTCTTCCTCATTTTTCTCTCCTCAGTAGTCGCGCGTTCACATATTTCATTTATTCTTCAATAAATCACCGTCTCAACTCTCAACCGTCTTATAATTTCTCTAATAAACGTGGACCTTATTTGTATTGGATTCATTTTATGAAACGGTACAAATAATAGTACTCGTCATGTTCTCGCTATATTATGTTCCACATTTTGGGAAAGAAACATGAATCGTATTGCCTATGTATTATTCAGGTGCTTGAGAGCCTTAGAGCTGCTGGAACATGAATATTGTTACCTTAAGAACAAACTACATGAATTATTCCAGGTAATCATAATTAAACCTACCACCTAACTGCTCCTTTAATATTGATGATACCGTATCTATCTTGAGCCAAACCATTGGTTATTCTTCTGTATGGCACTGCAGATACAGCAGCAACGAGTCTTGGCAGCTGGGGTTAGGTACCCAATGCAAAACAATTAAAGAAATGTGTGTTCTTTGTGTACGGCTACCTTGTTAGTGTTTCAAAGTTTTACTCAAAACCAAGCTAATTTGACCCACTGCGACTGTACCAGTTGGGAGTAGCTAGTTGTGCATTTGAGAAGAAGAAAACTAGACATCGAGAAAATGCTGTGATTTTATTTCACTGTTAGTCGATCTACCTGCCTGCCTTTGTATAGGAGAACAGCTTATATATGGAATGGTCCACTGCCACGTGGTGTTTCAATCCAAAAGTACATTGTGATCATGTGGAGGAAAACTTGTACGTTAAATGTATCAATGGATAAGGAATGCTATATAACGGTGAACTCATTTCATATAAGTTCTTCTCCCCAACTAATTGTAACTTTAAATGAAAATGAATTCTACTTATGATTCCATGCGTATGCATGGCTAGTTGTTCTGAGTCTCATAAATCAAATAAATGAAAATAAATTATAGATTAAATCTCTCTGAATATTGACTCTCCACCAACTAGTTCCTTGTTTTTGAAGTAATCTATGAATGCTCAACAACTGGTTCCTTGTTATTGAAGTAATTTTTGAATGCTGAAAGGCATTTTTAGATAATCAACGACGTTTCTGATTGCACTTTGTAAAAAAAACATTTTTGAAACATAAAAGCATTTGTTAGTGCTTTTTTATGAAAACACTTGAAAGTGATTCTAACAAAGACACTCATAAGCAAATTATTTCTTACAAAAATGTTTTCAAATGGTTTAATCTAGTAATTTTTTTCCAAGTATTAAGAAGGATAATATCAGGAAGACTACGTTTTTAAATCAAATGATGTGTAACTAATAGAAAATAAGCACGTTAATTAACATTTAAAGAGTCATCCAATCATCAACCTTTATATTATTTAATTTACAAATTTGGTCTCGCTAACCTAACTTATTATAGATTGTCTTGAATTTGAATATCTCGTCGCATTAATATAAGAAATATAATACAAATTCTCATCTTGATCTGTCAAGTTTCACAACCATTTTGATTAATTGTAATTCATTGCCCAATTGCTATAGTCTACAATTTTGTACCGAAGTAAAATGCTAAAAAGATACTAAAAAAAGATACAATATTTTCTTTCAGAAAAAAAAAAAAGATACAGTATTTTATAATATTAAGTATCCTTAGCATTTCTCTTGTACCAAAAATATGCTCAGAACTATCAGCAGTAAGGAGAGATTTTTCAATGTTCCCGTCATACGAAGTGGTACACCACGTGTCCCTGTGTTAAAAGGTTAATAACTTAAAAATTAAAAATTTCCACTACTTGCATAAAAACACGTGGTGTACCATTCGTATTCCCGTCACAACTAAAAATTATCCCAGGAATCAGGACTCTACTTAATATGATCTGATTAGATTGTTTTTTTTTTTTTAATTTTTAATTTTTTGTCAAATGATATGATTAGATTGTTCAGTCTCTATATCTCAGTGAATCAATCAATCTGAGGAGCTTATTGCGAGGGGAAGTTTTCTCATTTAACTATTTGAATGTTTGACGATCAAAAGGGTGCCCGAGGCCCACTGCATATCTTTAGAGCAATTTCATCATTGCTAAGGTCCTCTAGGGCTATTCACTATTTAATCCACACAGTGAACAATAATTGTTCTTAATAAACAGTAACTGCATTTTATATCTTCAATTCTTACATTGAATAGCCCTGACAATAGACAATAAAATATTAGTATTTTATTTATTTATAAAATAATACAAAATAATTTTGTTTGTAATTTCGGATAAGATTTTTAATCGTTCTCGTTGTACCACGTGTCATTATCCGAAAAAACAATTATTGGTGATGGATTTCAATAAGATTTTTATCCAATGTCGTCGTGCTACGTGTTGTTACCTTTTTAGAATTGTTGAGGATAGATTTCCGATAAGATTTTTAACCAATCACGTTGCGCCACATATCACAATCTGTTTACAATATTTGAGGATAGATTTTGATCATATTTTTAACGAATGACGGCATGCCATGTGACATTATCTACAACCTAATCCTTTATGAATCATCCATATAATCCACCATCTATCCTAAAAAATCTCACACCAATTTTCTCAAGATCTCTATCATTATTCATAGTTTATGCTTCCTTCTTACAATGTCTTCTTCTTCAAGGATGATGTGGGAAATCGATCAGCAAGAGGAATAATTGTTTAACCAATCAGAAGGAATGTTCAATCTCCAGGTGGCCCAAAATGAGATGGAAGAGGATGAGGAGCGTAGAAGGAAAGATGACGAAGCAAGAATGGCCAGAGCCTCACATTCCCGTCGAGTCATCCAAGCTGTGGCTCATATCTATAGGCCCAACCGTTCTGCAAACCTTGATTGAAGCAATCAAAGACGAGGTACGGATCTCTTGAATGATTATTTTGTTTGTAATAGTGCATTCCTTGATACGTACTTTAGAAGTTGTTTTAGAATGAAACAACATTTGTTCAACAAAATCATGATTGATGTTTGCAACCATGATTCTTACTTTGTGCAAAAGAAGGATGCTTTTGGTGTTATGAGTCTCTTTCCTAAGCAAAAAATTACTGCTGCCTTGCGAATGCTTGTATATAGAGCATCTGCAGACCAAGTGGATGAGATAGCAAGGATGGGAAAATCAATCATTCTTGAGTCCCTGATGAGGTTTTGCGGAGCAATTGAATCTATCTACACTGCAGAGTACCTCCGGAGACCTACTGAGATGGAGTTGCAAAGGCTTCTGAAAAAGGGCGAGATGCGAGGTTTTCCTGGGATGATTGAAAGCATCGACTGTATGCACTGGACTTGGAAAAATTGTCCAAGTGCATAGCAAGGTGCTTATGGTAAATATTTATGATAAATGTGAAAGGTTATCATCTTAATAATATATATTAGTTGAACAGTGTTAATCGCTTTGAAACGTGTTAATTAAATACACATCGTGAAACATGTGTCGTGTTTGAAATTGATACTTTTTGTATCCTATAATAACATATCAGTTTAAGAATAGCTTTGGTTGGTGAAGATATGGCAATATGCTTTGCATACACACAGCTGAAAATTTACCAATCACCTTTACATTAACCGAAATTGGATGCTTTTGTCACATTTAACATGTCCCACCAAATTTCTTCATCTTCTTCTTCCTCCTATCCTTTAAATTTGGGTTTTTTTTTTTAAAACTTTTTCAAAACTTGGGGTGGGTTTAATAAGTTTGGATGGTTGAAATTGATTGGATTTGGGGATGGAAGTCGAAGATGGGAGATTTTTAGAATGGAGACAGAGAGAGAAGAGCTTCGAGAGAGAGGGTGAGAGGGTTAGAAGAAATCCCAGAGAGGTGAGAGGCCTTGAAAAATGTGGAGGCTTGGGGGTGAGAGGAGTCTTCGAGACTTTATAGGTTTTTTTTTCAATTTTTAATTATTAATATTCATGTAGGGCCATATTGATACGTGACACTTAGTTATTATCCACATAGGTACCACATCATTAGTTAACAGATGATCTAACTGAAAACTTAACGAATGTATGAAAGTATTTTAAAATTATGATTTTAGGTACCAAATTGGGATGAAAAAAACTTGATATATCAAATGTTAAAATCCAAGAAACTACAAGGAAATAAACTGAGATTAATCCAATAAAATAAAACAGAGGGAAGAAAACTATATAAAAAAAATATTAAAAAAACAGAGGTATTTTGAAATACCTCATTTTGTTTCAATGGATAGATATATACGAGAAATGCTAAGGAAAACTCTTTGAAAAGTGGACTCTCCTTAAACTCTCTAGCACCATAAATCATCAAACTCGCCATCTCAACTGATACCAGCCTTCGAACCCGAGACCTAACGAAAGCCATCTTCTGCTCTCATCCACCAGGCCAGGAAGAAGGCCGGTGCAAATTTATGCAAATAATAGAATTTAATGGTTTGGGGGCGTAACCAATTACCAATATTATTTATTCATTGTTTTAATTTGACCCTTTGTAACATGGCATTTATTTGATGTATAAGTTTGCCGATCTATATGCATATGAGAATATAATTACTAGAAATTCAGATGCTTTTGTTATTTGGGACAGTGCTTTAGCTTTTAGAATTTATTCCACATCTTTGAGCTTTTGAGTACGTAATATTTCGTTTACATGAACATCTTCTTGTTGAAGCTAAAATGTTTTTAACTTCTCAAACATATTTACAGCTTTTTGGCATGAAATTGAAATTTCCATACGACATCCTCATGAATCCTATTTAGTAAATACAACATTCATAAAGGATAAATAAGTTAATAAATAATATTTTTTAACTACACCTCTATTAAGTAATAATTAGTTTAAAATTATAAAAAATTATAACTTTATAGAGGTCTTACAATATCGTTCGATATTAAAAAAAATGCATATGCTTGTTTATTAACAACGTAATTTGACATAAAAACAGAGGTATTTTTCAGAATACCTCATTTGGTGGCAACTAGGGTTTTGGTTGGATTATCATTTTCTTTCTCAGCTATACCAGCCTTCGAACCCGAAACCATGAGGGTCAAATGCTAACGCACTTTACCACAAGGCTGGAAGAAGACCAGTGAATACTTCCGTGAAAGGAAATTAACTTGTGCGATTTGTACTTCCATTTCAACCATTTGGATGTGGGCCCACCCGCAGGAAGACCCCTTAAATATCCCCTCTTGTTTGAGTTCATCTGGGCTACTATATATATTTTGTCAAATCTTGGCTACAAATATTTAATTTGACAATTTGAGTCCCTAAACACACAAATTAGGATGAAAAGAAAAGATTTCACAGTAGTCCAATTGTCCTCAATATATGGATATTGATTTGATAGTAATTTTAGACTCACAATTGTTCTCAATATATATGTTTTCATCTCATACCAGCATTCTAAGAAAATCTTGAGTTGAGCTATATTTCAAAGAATTAAAGTATGCAATGCATAAAAATATAAGTATACAATGGTTTTATTAGGAGTGGACACAAAATTGACCAAATTATTCAAATTGGTGTTAGCATACGTTGATTTAGGTGATAATTTCTAACGACTCGAAATCTGCATGAATATAAATCTCAACACGATGATAAATAAGTTTTCTAAACACAACCTAGTACCACCCATCATTATATATTTTGGTAAATACAAATGACAGAGAGTAGTCCAATACTATGGTTGGAACTCATGTTCTTGTAGGTATCGTTTGGTATGCATACGGGACGGGACGAAACGGAATGGGATGGGACGGGACAGGACGGGACGGGATGGAGCAGAGAGGGAGCAAAGATGCCCTCAGATGGAAACAAGGAGGAAGAAGAAGAAGAATGAGAGGTTATAATTTTGTGTTTCACGATGTGGAACGAGTTGTTCCAGGGGGATGAG